CAGTCTCAGCCTCTTGGGCATGAAGAAACCTCAGCATATGAGTGGGGACTGGCATGGATAGGCTATGTGACGCCTGTGAGGACGTGGGCATAAGGGGTCTCAGCCTCTAGGCTCGAGAACAGCTCAACATCAGAATGGGGCAAAGATGAATCTTAAATACAGAAAGACTGGGGGAGGGGTCTAGGAGTGGCCAAGAAGTTTGGAGTGATGGGGGAAGGGGTCTAAGGAGATCTGGATGGGAGTGGCGAGTAAGCTGGGGTCAACAGAACTCCTGGGTCCTAGACCTAGTGGGGCCTAGCTAGGATGAAGGATGAGAAGTGACAAAAGGCCATAGGAAGGTGAAACAATGGAAGGGAGATTGGGTGTAGCCACAATGCAAGGCCAGTTGAAGGGGGGAGGTGATTGAGAGGGAGGGAATGTCTGAGAGATTTGAATAGACAATGAGAATAGATAATGAAGGGAGGTAGAAGGGGAAGTTTGCTTTCAAAGGGAAATAAAAGCAGTTTCTAAAACCAAGGTTTTCCTGGGCCTAGGAAGGAAAGTGCATTTGAATAAGATTTCAAAGAGAGAATCTAAAAGTGTTAAGGTTTTTCTGGGAATTGTAAACAAAGGAGACAAATTCCTTTTGAAAAGGGGCAAAAAGGGAAAAGGGACAAAGGGAAACCTCTTCAATAATACAGTTTGAGATCTGGTATGGCTAGTCTGCCTCCTTTCCCTTTTTTTCTTTGATTCACTTGATATCCTTGACCTTTTGTTGTACCAAATGAATTTTGTTATTTTTTTCCAGCTCTAAAAATAATTTTTGGTAGTTTGATTGGTATGGCACTGAATAAAAGATTGATTTATGTAGAATATTCATTTATATTTTATTGCCTTGGCCTACCCATGAGCAATTAAAATTTTTCCAATTGTTCAGATATGACTTAATTTGTATGAAAAGTGTTTTGTAATTGTATTCATATAGTTCCTGGGATTGTCTTGGCAGACAGACTGCTAAGTATTTTATATTGTCTAAAGTTATTTTAATGGAAATTTCTTTTTCTATCTCTTGCTGCTAGGTTTTGTCTGCAATATATAGAAATGCTAATGATTTATATGGGTTTATTTTGCATCCTGCAATTTTACTAAAGTTGTAGTTTATGTAAAGTAACTTTTGAATTGATTTTCTAGGATTTCCTAAGAATATCATCATATCATCCATAAAAAGTGGTAGTCTTGTTTCCTCACTAACTATTCTAACTTAATTTCTTTTTCTTCTCTTATTGTTATAGTTAACATTTCTAGTACCATATTGAATAATAGAGGTCGTAATTGACATCCTTACTTCACCCTTGTGAGAAAAGACAGAGTGAAATCTTATTGGGGAAACTTTTAGCTTATTCCCATTACAGATAATGCTTGCTGACAATTTTAGATAGATACTGCTTATCATTTAAGGAAGACTCTCTTTATTCCTATGCTCTCTAATGTTTCTAAACAGAATGGGTATTGCATTTTGTCAAAGGCTTTTTCTGGGTCTATTGAGATAATCATATGATTTCTATTGGTTTTGTTATTGTTATGGTCAATTACGCTGATAGCTTTCCTAACATTGAACCAACCCTGCGTTTTTGGTATAAATCCAACCTGGTCATAGTGTATGACTCTTATGACATGTTATTATAATCTTCTTGCTAGTATTTTATTTAAAATTTTCGCATCAATATTCATTAGGGAACTTGTTCTGTAATTTTCTTTCTGTTTTAGTTCTTTCTTATTTAGGTATCAGCACCATATTTGTGTCATAAAAAGGGATTTGGTAGGGCTCCTCTTATTTTCCCACATACTTTAAAGTATTGGGAATGTTTTTTTTTTTCATAAAACCAGTTCTTAGTTTTATTTATTAATTCACTGTTTTTCTTAAATTCAATTTTGTTAATATCTCTTTTGATTTTTGGGATTTCCAATTTGTTGTTTGAGGATTTTGAATTTGTTCTTTTTACAGTTTTTTTCTTAGTTGCATACCCAATTTGGTGATCTGCTCCTTCTCTATTTTGTTGATGCAAGCAATCAGAGATATTGATTTCCCCCTAAATACCACTATAGCAGCATCCCATTAAATTTGGAATGTTGTCCCATTGTTGTCATTGTCTTTAATGAAATTATTATTTGTTTCTGTGATTTACTCTTTGATCTCCTTAGTTTTTAAGATTAGATTATGTAGTTTCCAATTCGTTTTTAATTTCTCTTTCCATTGCTCATTATTGAATGTAATTTTTAATGTATTATGATTTCAAGGGGATTCATTTACTATGTCTGCTTTTCTGCAATTGGTTATGAAGTTTTTATGTCCTAATACATGGTCAATTTTTGTGTAGGTACAATGTACTACTGAGAAAAAAAAGTATATTCCTTTCTATTTCCAGTTTTTTCCAGAGCTATCATATCTAATTTTTCTAATATTCTATTCACTTCCTTAATGGCTTTCTTTTTTGTTTTTTGGTTAGATTTATCTAGTTCTCAGAAGAGAAAGCTGAGGTCCCCTTCTAGTATAGTTTTATTGTCTATTTCCTCCTGCAACTCATTCAACTTTTCCAAATTTTAGATACTGAACCATTTGGTGCATATATGTTTAGTACTGATATTGTTTCATGGCCAATGGTAACTTTCAGCAAGATATAGTTTCTTTCCTTATTTCTTTTAATTAGATATAGTTTTTCTTTTGTCTGAGATTATGATTACTACCCCTGCTTTTATTTTTCTTCAGCTGAAGCATAATAAATTCTGCTCCAGTCGCTTCCCTTTCCTCTGTGTGTATCTCTTTGTTTCAAATGCTTTTCTTATAAACAACACATTGTAGGATTCTGGTTTTTAATCCATTCTACTATCCACTTCCTTTTTATGGATGAGTTCATCCCATTCATACTTACAGTTATGATAACTGTGTGTTTTCCTCCATGCCATTTTCCCTTGTTTATACACCTCTCTTTCTCTCTCTTACTCCCCACCCTGTCCTTTCTCACAAATGTATTACTTCTGATCACTATCTCCACCAATCTGCCATCCCTTCTATCAGGTGTCCCCCACCCCCCTTTTCTAGTCCTTTTCCCTTTTTACTTTCTTATAGGGTAAGATAGATGTCTGTATTCAACTGAGTATATATGTCATTCTCTCTTTGAACCAATTGTGATGAGAGTATGGTTTGACCTTTGCCTACTCCCTGTTCCCTGACCCCAATTAATAGTTCTTTCTTGACTCTTTTATGTGAGATAATATTCTATTTCCCCCTCCTTCTTCCAGTGAAATCTTCTTTCTCTCCCCCCTCCCTTTATGTGTGTGTATCATCCTATCAAAGTCACATTATATCTACACCTTCTGTCTATGTATACTCTTTCTAATTGCTCTTGTGGTAATAAAGTTCTTAAGAGGTACAAATATTATCTTGCCATATGCAAATATAGACGGTTTAACCTTATTGAATATCATATATTTTTTTTCTTTCTTTTTTAACCTTGTATGTTTCCTTTGAATCTTGTATTTGGAAATCAATTTGAATTTTTGGAGATCTTTTTTCTGTGCTGGACTTCAGAGCCTAGCTGCTAGCTTATACTGGATGGGAGACCTTCCTGCTGGTTTGTGCTGTGGAAATGGTGCCTCGCTGTTGGCTTCATCTTTGTGTGGGGTTTTGCTGCTGCCCTGCTCAAGGTGCAGGGCCTTGATACTGTGTTGCTATAGAAACAAGGCCTTTCTGTTGTCTGACCCTGGGGGAGGGGTCTTGCTGTTGGCCAGCCCCAGGGATTTGGGGTTTGGTTGGCTTGAGGGGCTGGGCCTCACTAGTTGGGGGTAAAGCCTAGCTGGTGGCATGTACTGGGGCTGGGGCCACTGGAGTGGGTCGTTACTGTGCTGCAGACTACTGGTTTACCTTGGGGACTGCTGGTTTGCAGAAGGGGGGGCTCATTGGTGGATTGCTTTGAGCTTGTACCACTGCTGCAGGTCTCCTGCTGTGAGACTCCTTGCTGCTACTCTGGGACCTCGCTCTCCTTCCACTCCAGTGAGACAGACTTTTCCTGCTGTGCTGGTAAACTGTTTCCCTGCTTTTAAATCAGTTCTGAAGCAGTTTGGAAGTTATTTGGAAGGGAATTTAGGAATGCTCTGGGGAGGAGTTTCCTTTCTCACTCCACCATCTTGTCACTGAAAGTCAAGAATACATTTTTTTTTGGTTAAGCAATGGGGTTAAATTGTTGCCCAAGGTCACACAGCTTGTAAATGTTGTTTGTTTGAGTCTGGATTTGAACTCCGGTGCTTGTTAGTCCAGAGCTAGTGCACTATCCACTGTGCCAAGAATACATTATCTAAAATTGATTATCTCTATAACAACAAAATGTATTGCTCATTTCATCTGTCAAGAAAGTGTTAAATTTCATCCAGTATCCCTCGTTTTATAGCAGCATTCTTTCCCTTCTTTTCCAGGTCACTTTTCATCTGAATACCATTTTGTTTTCTGTCCAAGGGAATAAGAAATGCAATCTTATGAGACTATCATGTGTGTTTTCTCCATGCTTCTGATTATAACTGGAGTCTTTGGCAATTTTTTACTCCTTTACCTATATGGCTCCAATTTAATCACTAATCAAAGGAGAAGACCCATTGACCTGATTTTTATTAATTTATCCTTTTCCCACATTGTGCTGATTCTCTTCAAGGGAAATCCATTTGCAATCCACATTTGCATCCAGACAATTTTCATGGATGACATCCAATGTAAAATCATAATTTATGTGCAAAGAGTGGCCCGAGGTCTTTCACTTTGTACTTCCTGCCTTCTGAGTGTCTACCAGGCCATCACTATCAGTTCTGGCAGTCACATATGGACAGTGCTCAAATCTAGGGCCCCAAAGTGCCTTGTGCAATCCTGTGTCTTTATATGGGTCCTCAACTGTTCACTGATTTAACTGTGCCACTGTATGTGACTGGTCCTAGGAACTACACAAATAATATGCTAAGTAGGAACATAGGATATTGTTCTATAGACATGTATGCCATGACTACCATAAAACTTACAATTTGGAAATCACTTTATGACGCTGGGTTTGTGGCATTCATGGCCATTACCAGTTGCTACACGGTGCTTGTTTTGTTCAGACACCACCGGCAAGTCCAGCACATTCATAAGACCAGCCTCAACCTCATTTCCTCCCCAGAGATCAGAGCTACCAAAGCCATCCTGTTGCTCATGAGCATCTTTATTTGCTTTTATGCCATCAGTTCCATCTTCATTATTGTTATGGATAATTCTAAAGTTGCAGACCTGTGGGTGATACATATTTCTGCTTTATTTAACTTGTGTTACCCAACAATCAGTCCCTTTGTTTTAATAAGCAGTGACTCTCGGGTCCTCATTTCTTGTAATGCTTTGAAAAGGATAAAAAAGTCTTATTCCCACTCATCTAGGTCTCAGAATATAAAAGATTTAAAGCATAGAACCACGGAATTTTAAAGCTAAAAAAAGCTCATGAATCTCATGTTATTCTGAAAAAGAGATCATTGGAGTAAAGGATCAAGTTCTGGTAAATCACAAAGTGATTATTTGACTTTTTCAAAACTCTATTTCTTTATACATGGGATTTTCTGCCCTGAACAGCAACAAGTTTGGTGACCAATAAAAAAGAGAATATTATTCAGTAAAGTTTGGCTACAACTCCAAACTGTGGTTCCATCCTCCGTAGAAGGAAACCATCTCAATGGCCACCAAGTTTTCTACATCAGCATTATAGTTGAAGGAACCAATGGCCAGAGAGGTTAATGGTTTCCACAAGTCTGCACAAATACTGAACATCTTATAGAAATTTTAAATTTTGATTTTCCTTACTAGAAAATCCATCATTCTCCCCTCTGTCTCTAAGGTGCTATTGCCATCTCTTTTCTAGATATAGCCAACAATCTTAGATTTCCTTATTTTTAAAAATGTGTTTCCTCCAACATCAAATACATCTAAATTATACTAACATTTGTCAAAAAACAAACAAACAAAAAACAATGAAATAGGAAGTTGTGAGAGGAAGAGAGAGAGAGAGAGAGAGAGAGAGAGAGAGTCAATTCACAAAAATAATCAACATTTCAAGGGAATTTGATATGTTCAGAGTTGCTATCCTTGTCCCATACTGAAATGAAAATAATACTTAATTTTGTGTCAGGGATTCAGGATCTAAATTATGATTATGTTGCTTAGTTTTTATGTGGCCACTGGAAAATCCTTACACTCTATTCATTTCAGACCAGTCAGAAAAAAAAAGTGGGATTGAACAAAATCTAAAGTTCCAGCCAAGTCTGTAAATCATATGTAAATCACATGCAAATTGATCCAAAACAATTCTCTCTACCCACCTGATTTTTCATACTGTGCAGTTAGGAACAGCTATCATAAACGCATATTATCAAAGTCTGTTCTCCATTATATTTTATCATAAAAGAAACTTTAATAGCGGCCTGGGAAGGCCAGGTGTCCCATATGTGGAAGCATGTGTGTCCAACAGATATACACCTTTTTTTATTTCCTATTCCTGATTCCAATATCCCTCTCCTGTTTCCCGATAGGCTGGGTACTATAGAGGCTACAGACTTATCCAAAGTGGCTAATTTCCCCACATGGGTCTCCACCCCTAATTGCCCACTCCCCACAACTTGGGGACCTCATCACTTTTGCTTTTATTTGGGAACACACTTTTTGATGTTGATTTACACCTAACCTCAGAACTGGTTTTCTGCTGGTTATTCTATTCATTCATCAACAGTGTTTTCTTATTCTAATTCATGGCTTCCTTTGTTCAACTTCCCCCCAACCCCTAGATTACATTTTTGTAGGAATGAAAACTAGCTATTTCTGGCATTCCCTCCCAGTTTAAACTGAATCCAATCTTGTCACATAGGTATCCACCCCCTGATTGAGTGACATGCAGAAGCAACACCCTTCACCACATTCTCCACAATTCAGTCATCTATTATCTCCAGATCCTGGACCACGTCCCTTAAACTCTGTCATCTTTTTCTGTCTACACTGCAGATAGACTTGTACAGAGCACTAATTCCTCTCATTCAGTCTAACCTGCAATTGATCCCCATTTAGCCACTATGTGCTGCTGCCTGCTAACCTGTCTGAATTCTTTTTTTTTTTTTTTAGGCAGTTGGGGTTAAGTGACTTGCCCAGGATCACACAGCTAGTAAGTGTTAAGTGTTTGGTCTGAGGCCAGATTTGAACTCAGGTCCTAATAACTTCAGGGCCAGTGCTCTATCCACTGCACCATCTAGCTGCTCCCTTGTCTGATTCTTAAAAAATAATAATAAATGAAAGAAAAATCATAGACTTACACAAAGGAATACACATAATTCTACTATTTCCCCAATGTATCATCCAGTTTTTTTAAATAAACTCCTAAAAATATGAAAATGAGTTTGTAACTAAAGATAATAAAAGCACTAATTTCATATGATTGTTGTGACTATCAAATATTGTTCTCTAAAAAGCATTACAAAAATAAAGCACTGAATAAATATTATTAGGAAGATCACATTCAATTATTCCTTTTGCAGAAAAAGTCACCAGGAGTCCCAGATTACAAGATTTGGGGCCTTCACATATCAGATAGGTTTCTGTGTTCAATTGCCCCCCATGCTTTTTACAGAATAGAGAGACTGTTACTAAGCAATTCACATCTGCCAAGACTTCTCTTAGGGGAAATAGTGGAGAAGGGAGTAGATAGGGTGTTGGTGGCTGGCATAAAACTATGCATGTGAATCTTGTGTTTTTCAGCCTTTCTTTAAACCTTGATTGCAAAGGCTATGGGATTCAACTCGATTCCCTTCACTGGGAAAGGGAAAAAGAGAGAGGCTACTCTAGAATAGTATTATACTCTCTTTTACTGTATTTTAAAGTAAAGTTGCAATAGGGTTTGGCTGTTTGCCCTGCCATTTCCTCAATCCCTGAGCACAGGAAACTGGGTTAAAAACATTGAGGATAGGTTGCCTTCCTAGTTCTCTTTATTAGATGGCTATTCCATGTAATTTACATGCAGCAAACTTCAATGTTTAAAGGGCTGCAGGCAACTGTGAGAGAATTAGCCAGATATCTTATGAGAACAACAACAACAACAAAAAGAAAGGATCTCAGGAAAGCATGTGACAGAAATGGGGCATACATCCTGCATGACAAAGTCCTATTTTATGCAGAGTGATGCCCTGGTATAAAGGAGGATTTGAAAACTGGCCCTTCTTATATGTAGATGGGATAGTCACTCATCTTTCCAATTACTACTAGCTATTTTTACTTAAGGATTCTCATCCCAGCTTTTAAGGCAATGAAAGGAGTATTAGTCCTAAAATAAATCACACTCATAAGTGGAGGAAGAATGCATATTTAATTGAGATAAAGAAAGTCTTTAGAGTCTGGGTTATTCATAAATTTGAGGATACATATGTCCATGAAGAGAACTTAACGAAAAAGATATTTATTTTTTTTCCCAAGGAGGAAGAAGGGGTGGGGTTTAGAGATTTTCTTAGGAATAACTAGGACTAATCCGGAAGCCCCAACTGACTTTGGCAATCTAAGCAAGAAAGCTCACTTACTTCTGGTTGTTTTCCCCTTTATGATCTAACTCACCATGAATCTTAAAGAAGGAGATTAGGATATTCCAAGTCTCTTGGGTAGATGTGGCTAAGTCAAGCTAAAGATACCCAGTGTGGGCCCTGCACCACTTCACTGAAAGTAAATTGCTCAAGAGCACGAATGCAATGACATTGCCAAGATTGTTCACAGGGAAGTACTTTCTTATAATCAGTGTGGTCTTTTGATAGAGAAGGGAATATTATATTTCATAATAACAATTTTCCTGTCAGGATATATTTTGATATTTTCTTACTGGTAAGTATAGCATCTTTGAAGTTAATTAAGTGGCCATGTGTCTCATATTAAATGGCATTGATTTGAAATTGAATGTAATTCATTTCTTAAGTGATTAGTCTTTATTGTCATCATTAATTATGGTAATAATTGTAGCAATTAGTAACAATAACTATGACAATAACAATACTCACAATTTTACAAACTGCATAAACTTCTCTTCCCAAAAGTTATTGTTCAGCTTTCTCCCCCCTTCCTTTACTCTGTCTTTCGACCCCTCTCATTGTACTATATAAAGCAATAAATAGAATACTGGATCTAGAGTCAGGAGACCTGAATGCTAATTTAGTCTCATACACTAAATAGCTCTGTGGTCTTTGAAAAATCTTGGAAATGCAGCTCCCTCTGTTTCTCCAATGGCAAAATGGGAATAAAAATACACCGATGTATGCATGCATGTACGCATGTATGTATATATATATACATATATATACACACATATACACTTTTATATCTATACATGTACATACATACACATGTTTATGAATGTATATATGTACATACACACATGTATGTTTAAATATATGAGTATATGTGTGCAAATATGCATACATGTATATTTATGTGAGTACATATATATATATTCAAGAGAAACCATATACACACATAGGCTTGTATGTATTTATATATGTGTATATACTTCTTTTATATGTACCTCATTGCAAGTTTCAGTGACTTTCTTTTTATTCACTATAGCTATATATATATATATATACACATGTGTATATATATATATATATATATATTTAAATGCATGCTTCTGCTATAGTAAGCATTATAAGTCTTTCATTTGAGATACCTCAAGTTTAATTTCTTCCACCTTGTTATCATCTTCCCAAATCCTTTATCTCATTCAAATAATTTATGACAAACTCAGTCCGCATAGTAAAGATTATTTCTCCTTATCTTTACCTTGGACATTAGATTCCCCTAAACCAAAAGTTATTTCTCCTGTCAAATGTACATGGCAGCTCCATGTTCATTTAGTCAACATTTGCAACAGTTTAAAAAAAATCTGTTTTCTGTATTTACTTTGATTTTGGAATTATTCAATTGGATTGGATGTGATTTCAGCAAATTTGAGGTCATTCTCATTATTTTAAGGAAACCACAGTGAACTCAAGTTTTTTTTGCCCAATTTGCCTTGTTACTGATTCCTGGAAATTCACTCATTCCCATGTGCATTTACATTCATCATATATATGTCTATTGGCACAGAATATCATTTTAATCCTCTGTTGGTTGTGATTTTGCATTAAACTCTTATAGCATCTGTTCCCTTGGCCTTTCATCTTTACTCAATCTTTTGACTTTTGTCTCTAGCTCCATAGTACAACATAGATTTTCTGGGTTTTCAGCCTGAGATCTGCATCTGAGAGGTGATGGAGACTGGTGCAATTTTGTGTCAACTACACCATTTTCCACTCCTAGTTATGGAACAAGTTTTTTCATAATTGTTCCAGTCTAAAAAATCTGCTTCTTTTGACAATCTTGCTGCGCTTGGTAGTAGTAATCTCTCCAGTCAATGTTGTCACAAAGTGCAA